ATTGACGTCGGTTTGATAGCGGACCGTGCGTAGTGTCGCAGAAAGGTGGCGTCGCGATTGCCGTTGTTCAGAGCGTTGTCGTCTCGATCGGCTCAAACACCGGCTCGTTCCCATCGCGGGCCAGTGGCTCGCTAGTGAGCCACGCGTCCCAGCCGAGCCGACGGCTGCCGGTTGCCTGCGATTGCAGTCGCGGTACGCTCGTCTGCTGGAGGACTAACTGCACGTCGAAATCAGTGCAAGGTCCGAGCAAGAACCTCGTCATCTGACACAGCATCTGAAAGCGACGACGGCGTGGTCCGGCAGTCGTTTCGGGGAGGAACTGCTCGAAACGTTCTTGGTTGAGCGGGCCAACCTGGAGGCGGACCCGGCTTTGTAGGTCCCACACGCGGCCGCCCAGCAACGCGTCGACGCCGAGCCGGTTCGCTTGGCCCCGCATGCCGGCGCGGGTTCGATCTGTGTCGTCTAGCGACAGCCATTGGCCCTGGAAGGGGAGGAGCTTGATTGGCGTTTGAAAGTACTCGGTAAGCACCGCCTCGATCTGTGAAGCGGGTCGCTGCCGCCGCGCTAGCACGCCGGCGTGCCGCGCCAGCGCTTGATCGACGACGCGGTCTAGCGTCCACTCTTCGGTCTTGTCACGGACTTGGAGGCGGTCGCGTAACGACGGCGCTCCGACACCCGCCAGGCTGTGCAGTGCGTTGGTAAAGCGATCGGGCTCGATGCGATCGGCGCCGCCGCCAACCACGCCCCGATCAATTCGTCGACTCGCCCATGCCCGGTAAAGCTGGCCGACGAAGCGGTTGCTGAAGAGGTCGTACCAGGCGTGCAAGGCATGCTTTGCCGCGCCCCGCAGGCGTCGTTGCAGCTGGACGAGTTGTTCTGTGTAATGCCGGGGCAAGACGCCGCTGGGCCCGGTGACGCCCATGAAGGACACGACCATCCGCGCCGGCTCTTCACCAGTCGCAGTCTGGATGGACTCAATTTCGCTCGCTGGAAAGGCGGTTGATGCCGGTGTCTGAAACCGGACCGCTTGCTGGCGTTGCGACGCCTCCGATGGCGCTTGCCGTTGCAGCAGATCGACAGCTTGATAGAAGTCGAACTTGCCCGGCTGTTTACACAGCTGCTCTTGAACCGAGCAGGCGCCGGCGCTTTGTGGCTTCGTCTTGTCGAGAGTCAAGGTCATACGAGTTGCATGCCTCCCGCGCGAGCCGGCCAGGTCTTCACAACGCCCGATTGCTTCGTTGCGAGCGTGAGCCGTGTGAACGAGTTAACCGTGGCATACTCGGCAAAGAAATGCTCGAGGACGCTGGCGAACAGGTAGGCGCCGACGCCACGATAAGACTCTTCATCGACCACGAGCTCGACAGCGACCCCGCGGCAAAACCCTCCGGTCTGCGCCCCTCCGATCCGACAGGTCGTTGGTCGTGAGGATAGCGAGACGACGCCGTCGATCATCTCGCTATTCAAGATCGCCCGGCGGCGATCCCTTTTACGATCGGCGAAGTCATAGAGGCGCAGCAGCTCCTGCAGGGCGGGCGCAGCGAACCGTTCATCGACTAGTGACAGATGGTTCAACGACAGATGCGACACCAGACGCCAGGCGTCGCGTGGCCCGAGCGGCGGCTGCATCGGCGCCGTGGGACGCGATAGGCAACGCACCGATCGGATGGGCAGGGGGGTGTCGCCGACCAGCGGCGTTCCGTGGGGCCCCCCCGTCAAACGTTCTGGGGCGTTTCGGTTGGTACAGGTAGCGTGGACGGTTACCGTCTGTTCGGCGGGCTTCTCATTGTCGAAGTCGCGATCGGCGACGCGAAGCCAGACGTCACTCCCCGCGTCGTCGCAACGATCAGATGGCCGCCGACGCGTGTGCCAAAACGCGCGGGCCTCGTCGGCGCCTGGCCAAGAGTTTTCGTGGTTGAGGCTGTAAAGCGGCCTGAGTTCTTGCGACTTCCTCCCGTCGACGGTGACGACCCGATCGATCGCGTAGACCTCGGTCGCATCACGCTGTTGCGCGTCGGGGACGATGGGATACTCGGTACGCGTGTGTGTGAGTCGGATCGGTTCGCAGACCTTCTCGAAGAGATTGACGATCGGCGTGCAGCCC